GAGCAGCAGGGTATGAACAGAAATAGCCAGCTCCCACCTGTTGGCTGTCACACTGATGAAAAGGTAACATGGAATCACCTCCCTTCTTTTATTTAAAAAAAAACAAAACAAAAACAGGAAAATGTGGACTTACAAAATCAATAGCTCTTATCAGGTTGGAAGTGTTTTTGCCATGGCTTCAGCTAACTGCTACTACTAATATGGGATAAGTTAGACAGCTGACTGCAGGAAAACAGTTCTTGATCATGTCACCTAAAAGAGAACGGGAATAGGATGACCAGGACTGCATTGTCCTCTGCAGCCATGACTTTGCAGAGATCTGCACGATCTATGACTGATTTCTCTATTGCTGGACAGCTAAGAATGGTCCCTTCAGATCAAATAACTTCCCCTTAAAAATCTTTATTCAGCATAAAAATCCAGAAATAGAAAACATACAAATGTTACAAGAAAATGCCTAGGCTACTATGTACAGCAGCATTTGACTCTGTACATACTAGAAGTACTTTGTGAGGCACAATTTCCAGTTTGTCTCCCAAGCAGGTGCTGAAGCCAATACCCTGCCCCCTCTCACAACCTCCAGGGCAAAGCTTCAGAGGAATGATCATGCACCATTTGTACTGAAGGTCTTTAGTCTGAAGAATCTGGTGTCCAGATACACATGCAAAGACAACTCCTACAAGAATTGGTGCATCAGATCTTGAAGGTCTTGCATCAGAACTGCTGTTGTCTCCCAGTGACTCCTGGAGCAGGAAGGACATGCATGTAGGATGATAACCACTGGGCTGTTCAATGAGTACCAGCTTCAATCTCTCCTACTGGCAGTGATGACGCTTACTGGAATCATTTTGCAGATGGATCAGAAGAAAGGGAACTCAGTTTACTCACTCTGTCCCTCCACTAGTAACTGAACTTAGTATGTAGATTTTCTCATGGGAAAACAGATGACAGAGGTTGATAATGGAGGATGATTTCCATTAAAGGACCTGCTTTTAACTCAGCTCAGACTAACTTTTGTTGCTCCTGTAAAATGAGTGGAAGAGCTCAACATCTGCTGTAAAAACACATCCATCACAAAAGACACTCATAGCAGATGGAACATCCTCCATCACTTGCAGCACTGATCCCATAAAAGCTGGAGGGGGAAAAGAAGACCAGGCAGCTCCTCAGACCTGCACAGGTGAAGAAGCATTCTCTGAGGTACTAATGCTGTGTACAGAAATCAGCAAGGAAAAGGATCCCTGCCTCATGAACAGTATCTGTTATAATTAAATGTACAAGAAATGGGAAAAGTTCAGTGTGATTTGTGGTGCTTTTTTTCATATAACTGGGGCTCTCCAAAGAACGGAGAAGCTGGAAACAGATGTTCCCATGAGGCTGGTATGGAAAAGATGGAATGCAAACAATTACACTTCTCTTCCAAACAGATCTGGCTCTGCAAATATCAATTTGGAAGATAAAGAATGATAAATATCAATTACCCTTCTAGAAAATCCTCTCATATCCTTTCAGCCACTTAGCAAGCACTATAACCACAGATCCTCAGGAGTGGTATGAGTAAGCTGTAAGGCTATCCAGCAATGTGATGTGATCTATTTTTAATATACTTCCCATCTGCCTTCAAGATTTGCACTAGGCTAATCCAAAGATGTCAGAGAAAAGAATTGCCACTAATGGACAGGGGGTCTATCCTTTCCCAAGCTGATTCATCTTTCTCTTCCATGACTATCAATGTGTCCTCTGTTGCAACCACCTGTTCTTCAGGCTTTTATCCATCCATTTCTGTAAATTTTCTTTTCCCATAATTCTGGACCAGACTGGAAACTGTGATTTGTGAAGCCTGTCCCTTTTCCCAGCACTGGAAGTCATTCAGCCCCTTCTGGCCAGCTTGAAATAAGGTTCGCTCTAACTCATCCAGCCGAGCCACCAGACTTGAGGTGTCTTCATTGTAGGCATTCTGAGAGGAGTCCATGATACGACGGAAACGGCTAATAAATGTCTAAAGAAGATAAGCAAAATTACTGACACATAAAGCAGAGGCTGCTTCAGCTTGAATGCTAGAGACCTTTCAAGATAGGAGATGCTCACAGCTGGTTCAGGGTCTGCCAGCTGCTGGTAGGGCTGCTGTACACAGCACTTATTAATCCTGGGTATGAAGACAAACCACTTCCTGCCTCAGCTTGGAGAGTGAATATCTGATACAGTGGAGAGGAAGCATGCATGGAATTAGATTTGGCTGCTCTCTAACAACAGGCTTGAGCAGACTAGAGGGTGTAACACAATTAGCATCTACTCCATCTCACTTAACCAGTGGAATGAATCTTGTGCCACAGCAGCTGCTGTAGGAACAGACAAGCTGCAGCTTGTGAATGGACCAGAAGATATGTCAAAACCTTATTTATGGTGATGTTTTTTTAAGGTAAAACAGCACAGCTCCTCTCACTTGCTTTCAACAAGTTGCACCTTGCATGCTTTGATATTTCAGTCAACTAGTGACATGTGCTGAAGTGGTTCTCTTGCTAAGACGTACATTAGCAGAAGGAAAAGATGAGGAAAGGTGTGGTCACCTCCTCAGTGCAGAAAGCAAACCTTTAGTAGACCTTTAGAAAGGAGTAATATTTGATAATTTCATGAATGAAGTTAATTAATGGAATAGAAATTATATTTATTAGATTAGCAAACAACGTGCAGGAATAGGAGGAGGGATGACTGTGAACACATTAGGGGACAGAATAATAATTCACAAGTAATCCTGACAAACTAGAAATGTGGTCTGAAAATCATTGGATGTAATTTAGCTGGACTACTGCAAGGTTCTACATGAAGGCAGAAATAATTAACTACAAAAATGCAGGACAAAGAATGATGGTCTGCGTATGCAGGCTTTAGCACCTCACCGTGGACTGCAAACCAAATGTGTCCATGTCACACTATCAAGAAAAATAGAAAAGCTGTGACATGATGAGCAAACAGCATCATGGTCTGGAAAATTCACAAAGGAATCTTTCCAAGAGTGCAAGGCAGGAAGATGTGTGCTGTTCGAGATGCTGCCCGTCAAAGCAGCTGAAGCTGAACTGGAAAAATACCAGCAGCAATCAGAGGTTAGGAAGCATGACACACAGTGAGGTACCAAATGAATTGGGGCCATTTATCCCAGAGTGAAGAAAACCAATGTTCAAATACATAATAGCCTGCTGCAGGAAGGAAGAGAATCTGTTCTCAGCATTTACTTTGTGTGAGACAAACAGAACAGAGCTTGTATTGCTGTGAAACAGATTTTGTTTAAGCCTAAGATAGGATGGTGAAGCAATGGAACAGCTGCACAGGACAGTATGAAAAGAGCTTTAAAAGCAGGTTAAAAAACAAAAAACAGGGCAAATCAATTCTGCCTTGCAGCAGTGGAACAGATTAAATACAGTTGCATCCCCTTTAGTCCCGTTTTACAGGATTTTCTGAAATATCATATTTACAGCGTGGAAGCTCCAAGCTAAAATCCAACTCTTGGCCTGCACTGACATTAATAGGCTGCACCATTCCCCAAAAGGGTCATACCGCTTGATCTAGAAATCCTTAATCCATTCTGAAGTCATCTGAATTGGAACAAGCTGTTTTTCCAGGAGTCTGCTGGGCAGCTGGGAACAAGAAGATAAGCAAACACAAAGACAAACTTCAGGCCTCAGCTCTAATACTTGCCTGCAGGATAGTCTGAGCTATCTCAGGGTTCTCTGGGTTGTCGAAGTTCAGGAGCTGGGAGCCAAATCCATAGTAGTACGGTCCCATTTTATGCAAATCAACCACATTGGCATCAGCACTGAACACTGTCCTCCAGGCCTCCTTGTAGATCTTTGGCAGCTCCACAGAGATCAGCCTCCTCTTGCTGTCATGCAGCCCCTTGGCCAGCCACATCGGGATCTCCAGCTTTGAGCCCTGCAGGAGAGAAAGGCACAGGCTGTCCCCAGAAGTGGACCAACACATGGACAAATCACAGAAACTGACAGGAAACCTCAATAGTGAAGATCTGGTATTACAAAGGGCCGGTTTTATGCTCAGAACAGCCTCATGCTTAAAGACGGTTGGATGTAAGGAAGAAGTCTTTTACAGTGAGGGCAGAGAGGAACAGGTTGCCCGGAGAGGTGGTGGCTGCCCCATCCCTGCAGACTGTCAAGGCCAGGCCGGATCAGCCCTGGGCAGCCTGATGGAGTTGTGGTCTCCCTGTGCCCTGCTGGGGAGTTGGACTAGATGGCTTTTAAAGGTCCCTTCCAACGCTAAGGATTCTATAACTGAGATATAAACAAAACGCTATTCACTAGTTATTACTGCAGGACTCCGAGTCTTTGCGTCGACCTCAAAAACAGAGGCAAACGGCGCTGCTCACGCGTATCTCCTCACAACACCGCTGGTGGAAACAGCAGCGCTCCGCTTCTCGCAGCCCCGGGCCGCGCCTCGCGCTCCCAGCATGCCCCGCGCTGCCGCCCAGCCGCCCGCCCTGCATCGCCCCGCGCGGTGCCTGCCGGGAGCTGTAGTTCCCGCCGCCCGTCACCTCAGGGATGGAGTCCCCCGAGCCGGCGCCGGTCCCTTGGCCCAGCGCGAAGGCCAATCGGGGCAGGTTGCTCTCGGCGCGGCCAGGCAGCTTCTCCTGCGACATGAGGATGTCGTCCAGCGATAAGAAGTTCTCCTCGGGACCCAACCCGGGGCCCACCGGGAAATACGCCTCCGCCATGCCCAGGCGGGCGGGCGCGCAGCGACTCCCGCTCAGCCGCCAGCGGGAAACGCTGCGCATGCGCGAAGAGAACTCCCGCCCGCCGCGGAGGCGGGAACGGGGCTGAGGGGCGGGAACGAGGCTGAGGCGCGGGAACGGGGCTGTGGGCGCTCAGCGCTCCGTCAAAGTCACAGCCGTGCAAGAGCAGCCAGATCAGTGACGGTTTATTAAATCCTGCACGGTTGAATTTTTCACTGTGAGAAATAAAGCGCAAGGATGCAGGCCAGGACGTCAGCGCAACGTCAGTCTCTCTTTTCCCTCCTGGCACTTTCAGGAACAGATTTGCATTTCCTAATTGTTTGGCTCGCCTGTGGCAGAGAATCTTATTTGTAAGTAATGTCGTGCTGGATTTGTGACACAAGCTTTTGGAATCCCTTTGTTGTGCAAATACAGGCAAATAACTGAAGTAAGCCAATTGGCTTCAGCAGCATTACCCAAAAGAGAGTGAAGTGCTGTGTCACAGGAATAAATATCGCTCTCAGGAGCAGATTCTGCAATCTTTAATTTTTAAGGAAGAAGCGTAAGTCACTAAATAAACAAAGAACAAAACCAGTTTCCCGTTCAGTTCAAATGTGAGAGAGTTAGCAACAGTATTAGCAATATAGCACGCTCAAATTTACATCTCAAAGTCTCATTCCTAACCTGGAGGAGAATTGTATCACATATTGCAGGCAGGAGAACAGCTGAAGGAGGAAGGGATTTAGGGTAACCGAGCATCCATCCTGTGGGAAAGCAAAAATAGCACTTCTGGCTTCCAGCTTCTAACCAGCATCTCTCAGGAGGAAGGCAGCAATGTCAGCAGGGTCTCTGGCCAGCCTGTAAAATTAATTTCAAAAATCTCTAAAAAGGAACACTGAAGAAGGAAGATAAACTGCATGCTATAATTGGTATTGCATTTTTAACAATCAAAGGGAGCATAGAAGCAGTTCTAGAACGTTCCAGTGTTTTCTTCCTCGATGTCACCCACTGCATGAATTCCTGTTATCATGTGGAAGTGGATTCAGCAATTTGCAAGGAATTCTTACCAGTTGCATAGCTTTGCTTGTAGCTGAAAAGCCACAATTAGGCAAGTAGCAGGCTTTCATGAACATCCATTGCTTTAGGCAATGCCTTGTTGCTCAAACTTTTTATAATTTAGATGGAATCTTGCATTTGGAGTCCCAGAGGTGGCAATTTACTGTGGTTTTGGGTAGAGATGTGGAAAAACGGTAATTGTGATACCTGCCTTCAGCAGGTAGGAAATGAAGGAAGTTGCTAATTACAGCACAATAGATCTGCAGTCAGTTCCAAAGGGATGAGATCTCTGACACTTTTGATGTCTCGGGGTGGCTGTGATGATGTAAGTAGAACACTCACATGGTGTGGATGAAAGAGAAATGCTGTGTTTGTTCTTCACAGGAAGACCCTTTCCTACCTGAAATATACTCGAGCAATTGAACAAAGCAATGAGCCCTTCCCACAGTCTGAAACATTAAACGTCAGCAGGTTTCCTTTTTGTTATGTCTCCAAGTTCCCAGTAAACGCCATAGGGAAACAATGGGAATGCTGCTCTTCTGGTTAAGTTGCATGCACTCCAATGCCATTCAACAAAAGGGGATAACTCAGAGCCTGGAGACAGAAAATATATGATCTAATGAATCGATCTTTGTGCACAGAAAAATAAACAAAAACAACCAGTTGTTTTGCAGAAATTATATGAAAACTGGAAAATGATGACTTGTTTGAAAGGAAGACAGGAGGAAGGGAAGGGAATTGCTATATGTGAGCCTCACGTTCTATACCAGATGAAGGTGGTAGAAATTTTATTGATCTGGAGAGTTTGCTTCAGTGACTTACTGAAAAAAAAAAAAAAATGCAAGGTTACTTATGTCTTGAGATCTGGAATAAGAGTTTGAATCCTGAATTGCGGGGAGAGTACATTTGTTTCAAGTCATTTTGTGTGTAAGCAGTAAGTTATCCAAACACAAATCATATCCTTTTTTTTTTTTTTTTTTTTCCACTGCCTGATCTTTGAGAGACAGAGTTAGCTTCTGTGAGTAAAAGGCAACCAGCAGGTGAGCTGACAGCAGCATTTCTGAGTGCTGAGAGGATGCCTGTGGGTCCACAGCTTACCAGGGTGGAGATGTGGGAGCCTACCGAGTGTTTGGGCAGAGTTTGCAGTGTTAACCTTTGGAGTCTGAGGATTAAGGGGATGATGCTGTTCTTTCTGAACATTTGGAAGAAGTCCTGTGACTCAAGGTGTGAAGGAATGAGAAGAGCCAAGACAAGCAGCTTGTGCTGTCTAAGAATATCCTGTCATGGTGTATCCTCAAATCTGACAGCTTTTCTCTTAAGCATGAACTACTCTTTGATGCCATGAAGTCTATTTTAGTTTTCATGAAACACCCCTATAGCCGGCCAGTGATATAGCTCATTGCCAGTAAGTCAACAGTGTGCAAGCTTCATCAGCTAAATATCCAAGGATGTTGTAATCAAAGCAACAAAATCCTGTGTGATATTCCAGAAGTGAATACATTTTGGTGGGCTGCACTCAGTACCGGGTTTTATCACACAAACCCAGATACGGATTTTTGGCAGAGTTTTAATCTCTTCCAGGAGAGCCTGCATATCTATTGATTTTCTAATTTTCTTATAATCCTGTATTTGCCAGCAGAGCCAGTAACATAACAGAAGAGCACTTTCAGTGGGAAAAGTTTGGCAAACCTGGAGTAATCTCATCAAAATGAATGATGGTTTTAGAATTTATTTTCATAATATGGGGTTTAAAAATCTATCTTCTCCTCACTGTGGAGTTTCAGGGCCAAATACCTCCAAGGCATAAATATAAATCTGCTAGGGAATGTGTAGTCCTATCTGGTAATTTTTTTGTTGTTGACAGTGTATTGTAATATTACAATATTACAGTTAACAGTCCTTAAAAAGAATGAAATCTTTTCTGATTAGTGCTCCTCTGCAAATGCTTTTTCTTATCTTTTGACTGATGGTTTCCATCGTGGAGCCTCCAAATGCCTTATATGAGTGCTTTAAGTAATGTGTTGCATGCACTTTAGCTTTACTCATGTGTTCTCTTTGAGATTCATGTGCAGTTCCAAGGTGTTTCTCTGCTACATTTTTCAATGCCCACACTTCTTGGGGATTCCTGGAAGTTATTTTCTTTGAGGGCAGTGAGGCCCTGGCATAGCTGCCCAGAGCAGTGCCCCATCCCTTGAGGTGCTCAAGGCCACGGAGTAGCCTGATCTAGTGGGAGGTATCTCTGTCTATGGCAGGGGGTAGGAATTTGGTGAGCTTTAGGATTCCTTCCAACCCAGCTTATTCTGTGACTCTTGCTTCTCTATCCATTTCCTTGTCCCTTTTCAACAGGGGATGCTCAGGTGGAGATGGTTAGCATATCTGAAATGATAGTGATGTGTGAGTCAAAACCTGATGTTAAAGATCTAACACAATGACCTAAAGTGTCCCTCCACTTTTAAATTCTCCCCTGCATTCAATTTCCTTATGAACAATTAATGGAGGAAGTAATGACATGATCACAGTTTGCTTTGACAGCCCAGACCAAAATAGCTGTTTCTGCAAAGCTAATTAGGAATGACATACTTAAAAACATTGCATTTAAATTGTCGATTTAAGTTTTAGAGTTGGTGTATAGTGGAAACCCATCTTCCTGGACCCTAACAATGTGAGAGAGATGGTATCGATTCCCTTCCCTATTTCAGTAAATGGGTCCAAATATTCCAAATTCAGAAAGAAAAAAAAAAAAGGCTGAAGAGTCACTCCTGGACTACAGAGACAACTCTACATGAACAGTTCAAAACTGCAGATTCACATGGATTTATAGCATGTTAGTCATAAGGCTGAATTCCCCTTGGATAATGTGCTACACTGTCTATTTCCTCCGCAGCTTCGTGGCTCTGACAGCATAGGCTTGATCTGCAGTCCCTGAGCTTGATTCCACTGATAGCATCACCTGCTGTGAAGGATTGTAAAATGAAAGCTGTAACTCCAGGTGAGAGATTGGTTTGGACTGTAAGTGTTGCATTGCCTTACCATCAGCCCAGCAGTGCAGTGGCATGATGTCCTGTAGCTGATGTAAATGGAATGTAGACCAAGAGCTGCAGAATCAGAACATGTTATCTTTAATACTGAAAATGAGAAAGCATTTTTAAGTACACAGGGCAGACTTGCTAAACTATTCTTGTATAGATTATGCAGCATATAGAGCATAAGGAGTTGATTCTTGAAGGCATTCTAATCTCCTGTACTAGATATAATATTCCCTGGTCCTTGAATATGTGTGTAGCTCCCATCAGGGGAAATGGTAATGAATTTGCATACTAAGGAGAAAATAAATCCTGATTCCCCTTCAGTAATGTGTAATGTCAACAAAAGTCTTTGATGAATGCAGACTCTTCTTAATTAGATGCTTGGGTAGGAGATTATTAACCCATTTATCTCAAATTCTAATTGTACCTTGAATCGCTTGCTGGTTTATGCCTAAGCTTATGATCATATTTATCTTCCTAGAACCTATAAAGAGTCATACTCATAAATGAATATTTCTTGAAAGTTGAATTATTGTATTCTTATTTTTATTCCCTTCCTCAATGTACGTGTATGTAAATATTCTGAAATCCTTACTCTATTAACCAAGAGTATATCCTGAAACATAACAATTCCACAATTGCAGCTGTTTCCACATCATGACATGTGACCTTTAAAAAACATGGATTTCTGCACCAGTGACAGCCAAAGGAAACTGACTTTATGGACCCTAACAATGGAGCGGGCATGGCTGGGGGGCTTGCCAGATTTCAACTGCATACTAAAACTAAAAGCTTAGGTTGTAATACTAATGTATAAATACTAATGACCCCACCGACCTAAAAATCATCCCTAGGAGATTCAGAGCAAGCCAGTCAATTTGCTAAAAGTGCATGTAGTTGTCTGGATGACATACGTTTGCCTGGATACAGCTGAGGATTCACAGAATCACAGAATCACAGAATGACCTGGGTTGGAGGGGACCTCAAGGATCATGTAGTTCCAACCCCCCTGCCTAGCAGGGCCACCAAACATACACCTTTACTAGATCAGGTTGCCCAGAGCCTCGTCCAACCTGGTCTTGAACACCTCCAAGGAATTCATTTGATTCATTTGAAAATATCCTCAGGCAGATGTTGCTTCCTTTGAACACTCTGAGTTGGCCTACTTGGCAGCTCATGGTGTATACTGCAACAGCTCCATCTGCCGAAACAACTCCTAAATCACTGGGAGTTCGAAAAGTAACAGCCAATTATATTCCTCCTATTAGCTGTGCTATTAGTGGCCCTCTGGGTTTCTGTGTCTAGGGCAGGCTAGGTAAGAACAGACTAAGCAGACCATACTGCAGTTCCTTTGTGTGTATGCACTGACACAAGAGAAAGAGAGAGAGCAACAGACACAGCTGACATTCAGTAAAGTGAAATAAATTGTAGTGAATGAAATCACTTGATTGAACTGACCCTGTTTTAATAGGCTGCCATACAGGACTTCCTGTGTGCATGCAAAGATGGATATAATAGCACCATCCAAGTTGTGCAGGGATATCTGAGAATGGAGAAACTTACTCGAGTGTTGTTTGTAGTTTTTTTTTCTCCTGTATCCTATACTTTTAACTATCTATACTAACTAACATTCATTCAAACAAACAAAAAAACTAAAAAAAAAAAAACCCACAAACAACTGACACAGTTCCTGTTTAAGTACCATGGCAGATGATAGCACTTCTGGCACCTGTGGCCTCCTAAGTTGCCAGGTGGTTGCTCTTCAGTGGCATTACTGATGACCCAGCTGACAACTTCTCCCATTTACGGGCTGATTCTCCTATCCAGTGCAGAGTGTGTTTCTTGTTAAGGTCCCTGCTTCTCACTGGTGAAATAATTCAAGCTAAGGTGAGGCTGACTCTCCTTCTATCCTTACGCTTCTAGGAGCACTCTTCGGGCAGAAAGTGTATATTTGTGTTGACATGCAGCTGGGCTCAGATTAGTTGCAAGCATATATCAATTCAGGTACCTGCACGGCTGAGTGTCACTGCATCTCATTTTTGACAAGAGACTAATTTGTAGATGTCTGTTTTGGTTGTATCTGACAGGCTCTATAAGCAAAGGTTTCTGTTGTCTGATTGCAAACACAGAAGTGTTTCTTGCACCACCCACCCTGGAAAGCTAAAGCCTCCTGCTTCACCTTTTTTTTTTTTTTTTCCTTCTTTCTCTGAGTTGAAGAGCTGCTGATCATGTTGATGTGTCCCACCACTCTGCTGCCACGTGAATCAAAGCCACAGGGAGGGGAGCCCCAGGTCAATCAGAGTTGCTGCAGGACAAGGTCATTAGCCCCAGCATCCTCCTTGCAGCAGGCGTTGAAAGGATGATGTATGTAAGTGTGGGCTGAACTCAGAACTACTCTGAGTTCTGCTACGGATGCAGTTTGTGACTTGGAGAAAATCAGCCCTCTGTTTTTTCAGTTTTCTTATCAGCAGAGAGAGCCTTTGGGTCGTGTAGATATCTCTTGCCTCATCAAGACTGGAAGGACTCATTAACTTGTAAATTTCAAGGCTTGAATTGCTATGCAGGGCCAGACCCCGCTCACTGCACCAAAGGGAGATTTTATGGTTGATAAAAACAGCAGTAAATTCCATCTAGGGAACTCCAAATGCAAGAAACTCCAACAATTTTTACAGAATTCCCATCTAAAGCACAAGTTTTAGCAACTTGGCACTATTCCCTAAAACAAGAAACACTCATGAAACACTTGCTACATGTCTAATTGTGACTTTGAAGAATTTCTTTCAAATTGCTGAATCCAATCTCATATGATAACAGGAATTCATGCAAGAAATGACATCTGGTGGGAAAAAAAAGCATTGTAGACTTTAGATCTGCTTCTATTTTCATTTTGGTTATTGGAAATACAGTTTGCAATCCCAAGTATAGCATTGTGTTATCACTTTCATAGTTCACTCTAAGGGAAGGAGGACTGTAGTCCTGGTGCCTACAGACATACCTCACAGTGACAAGACAAGTTAATGCCTAAATTCCTCCCCTTCTCTCCTCCAGACCTCACTGTTTACTTTTCTTATTAGCTTAATAATAGCCTGCTCAGTCTGCAAGCTCAGTTTTCTCTTGAGCATTGTTTGTTTCTGCCATTCTTTCTCACAGAGCTATTCTTGAAAAATGCATTTTGATTAGGTCTATGCCCCTGACTTGAATCTAGTAGGAGTCATTCAGTCTGGTGAGTTCCTCTGCATTTCTGTTCTATGGACTGAATGAAGCAGAGATTCTGCAGAAAATAGATGTGAGCTCCTGTAATTAAAAACTGGGCATACACAATGTGACTAAATCAAGATGGATAACAAACTGAGTGTGAAAAGATACCTTTTTTGCCCCGAAGTCACAGTATTAATGGAGAAAAATGATTTCAGTTCCTCTCCACCTTAGACAAAATTGAAAGCAGTGTTAAGATGGTACTGAGCTTTCTTTGAATACCATACTGCATGCTGCTATTAGTCAGCTCTTATTTATTGTGGTTTGTAACTTCTCTTTCTTAATGCAGCACATGATGTTGCAAAAAAGTCCTGCTCTCTGGTTTTGCTATTAGTATTTTGGGGGGGCTGTAATTTCAAAGGGGATTAGAAGTTTTTGTGACAGGATCTCATTTTATATCAGCCTAGCAATGTCAGCATCAGATCCAGGCTATCTAAACTGACCCAGAAGACAATGACCAAGGATCAAAGCAAAATCAGAAGGGGATACTAAACTAATGCTGATACCACCTTGCCATCATGTGAAGTCACCTGGTGTGGACTCAGCCACACAGAACAGGTCTGTGGCCTCAAGTTCTCCTGAAACATATGATCTTTTTATGTTGTTTCTTTTTTTTGTCAGCAGCAGAACATTCCAGACATCTCTCCAGAGAGAGTGAAGGAGGGCAGTCAGAGCAGAGCATGTACCCACTGAACCTGAAACATGGTAACTATTTGTCCTTTTGCAGCACTTAACCTCCTCTCTGTCAGCAGAGTAGGATTCCTTAACAAATGCTGCAACATGTGGAGTTGCTGAGTATTTCAAGGCACATGAAAATCATGGAAACATTTTCAGACACATTGTTTTATCATTCCATTCTGGTCACTAACAAAATTAATTTGCATTTTTGAAAAATCATTTCAGCTGGGCTCCCCAAGAGTAGTGGAGCTTTTTGTGTTCTGAAAGCCCTCGCATTTGATTGGATTCCTAAAAAACAATCTAACTGTAGGTGCCCATTTAATAAAAAATCCCAAATTCTTCATCATGGGTTGGACCTATAATGCACGTCTCACAGACCTACAGGTCAAAGAGCAAGCCAGACTGCTTTACAGAGGACTACCAATGGTGTCTGCACCAAGTACAGCTCTTTGATCTACAGCTGCAAAGATGAAGATCCTGATAAAAGGTTGCATCTGGATTAGAATCTGTCTTTGCTGGGTTGCCAGTTCCCTTTTTATTGTGAGAGTCAAGGTTATATTCTGAATTCCACTTAAAAAAAAAAGCATGTCAGCTTTTTAGCATTTGAGGCACTGTATCCTTATTCATTGCAAAACATTTTGTGCTAGGTATGACAGGGCTGCAGTCAGTCAGTCTGATGTACTAATGCAGAGAATCTGATCTTCTATGCCATGCAATTGGAGTTTTTGAGGCTTTACCAGCTTTGTCCTTAGATGAAGGTTATTAATCTGATGAGCACATGGACACCTAGGATATGCAAAGATACAGAACGAACTTCACAGCCCCACCTTTTAACATCAAAAATGTTCTTTTTGTCTTGAAGAAGCCAGCAAGCATCTTGCATCAATACAGTATAGTCACACTGTTTTTTGTCTCCGTGTTCTTCAGTGCTATTCCATCAATATTGCCATCCTGCACTTGGCATCATCTGCATTGTCATCTGTTTACTACCACGTTTGTAGTTCTGAATAGAAGCTTAAAACCTTTGTTC